CAAGTGTGTAACACCGGTCAAAGTTTGACACTTCTCTGGCCATTATCTCCGTAACCGTTCAACTTTGGACATAGGTGTTTTGGGTTATATCGGCATACTTTAACATAAGGAACACCCTCCCAAAGTTTGGTCCATTCCTCCTGCGGCACTCTGTATATAGTATTAGAATTTCAGCATGGTTTCAAAATATCAAATTTGTTATATTTAAATTTGTTTCCATAGCATTCAGTTTTACTGAGATGATAGTTTTGTAATATGGAATATAATAGGAACTATGGCTACAGAATACCAAAAGATATACACGTATATTGTAATGTGTTTGGATTAGATATTTCCATGGCAACGCACTAACAGTGGGCCATTGCATAGGAATTGCAGAATCAACAAACGCGTTTCCCCAGAGATGGAAGGTTCGTTGTGTAACAATGGATTGTTGAACCAGCAGGGATAATGTACTTCCGTGGTAATGAGTCAGTCTTAAGAAAGCCGCTGCCAAAAGCAGTCTAGTATTTGCTGAGATATAGTGGAAGCAGTAATTGTGAAACTGCAGGTGATAATAATTGCAAAGTGTGTGAGTGTAGAAGCGAAGCACAATAAATATCCGCTACAGCCTTGATGGCATGAAGTTATTTGTTGCGTGACATGCCCAACACGTGACAATATATATGTGTTTCTTTTTCAGGACATTCTCCGTGAAGCTGGCTGTTTGTTTAGACTCCAGAACCTGTTAATGTATCCAAAGATTAAAGTTCAACATGCAGCAATCAAAGCCCTGGGAAACCTGGCTTTGAATCAAGAAAATCAAAAGGAGCTTAAAGTATGTATAATCTTAAGCCAAATCAGTTAGTGGATAGAACATTGAATATCTTTAACACTGCAAATTTTATTGGAACACTCATAAAGACTGCCATATGACCTCTTCCATTTTCCTGTTGACATCCCTTTTGATTTCTCATTTTAAAACCTTTTAAAATTGTATCAGTTATACTGACTTATCTCAAGTTTTTCTCATTGTTAATAGTATATAAATTTGCATTGGTTATTGTACGCAAATTGTAAAATCTGTCATCTCTTACCATTGAGTACAATTTTTAAAATGTAAAATTCATGTTGTGTAAGTCTTAATATAATTATTTTTACTCAATTCCAGTACATCAAAATTGTTTCACTAATAAAGCTCTGTGCCATATAAGCTGTGGCTATATTATGTCCAGACTACTTCAATTCCAGTGGCCCTGAGTCCAAAGATTGTATGAAAATAATGTATGCTGTCATGTGATCAAGTGTCTGTAGATGGAGTTTTAAATTGGTAATTGAATTTATTGGACTCTTTAAGCACCTCATGACTACACACTATCACACAAGGCTAGTGTTCTCAGTCACAGCCTTCACTGTGCTGCTCGGTAACATCTTCCAATGGTGGACATTCCTCTGCTACCAAGCTCACATCCTCGCAGGCTGGCAGCCATCTCACACCAACCACTTATTCTTCTAAGTGACATCTAAAGACTTACTCGTAATGGTAGCTGGTGCTCATTATATAGGCCTGGCACAGACAGCACAGAAAACACCACTTCCAGCAGATCATCCACCGTTGCATGCCCACGTTGCTTAGCAGTGGCTATGGTACTGTTGCGTGCTTACATAGCTCTTGCCGAGTAATGGCTGTTTTTCTGATCCCTTACTCTAGCTGTCAGGCCTTGTGTCACATTACTCCATGCCTCCGATTGGTTATCACTGTTTCTTCTGTTTACAGGGAAAGAACTTCCAGAAGTGGCTGCTTCTCCTACAGCACTGCCACACAAACCACTAGTAGACTCTTCATCCATTTGGGAGGGGGTTGACTCCTCCACAATGTCCAGTCACTCATTTTCCACAGCCTGATGGAAAACCTGACACTTCACTTCACAACCTCCAGCCCAAGGGCCTGCCTGACAGGCTCGTTGAATGTCCTCTTGCTTCCTCAATGTAGCTACACTTCTCGGCCTTAGTTCTGTAAGGTGTTGTTGCACTCTGGATCCTTCCATCTCCTCCTTTTTTGACTGTCAGTCTTCTATGACTGCAGCTTTTATGCAGTGCAAGGTATGACATGGCAGGTCAACCATCCATGGGCAGCAGCCAACTTCTGCTGGGACCCACCATCACCCTGGGTAATTGGCACCCTTTGGCTAGATGCCAGTTCCCATACCTGTGACAGTCTCGACTGCAGCCTCTTCATTAGAGACTTCATAATGCCTCGCAATGGTCTCCATCTTTTTTCAACTTGCTTCCTTCTTCTTCAGACAGGATCACACCTTCTCTGATCAGGCCTTTATTTCTTTTTTATCAGCATCCATATCGACATTCAACTTTTTTAGACAAGGCTCTGTCACTTCTAGGTAGGCCTACATCTTTTCTAGACAGGCATCCATTCCTTCTTGGTAGACCTATAGCTCTTCTTGATTGGCGACCATCTTGGCCTCTATCCTTTCTGGGATGGCTACCAGACATTCAAATACTGCCATGATTATCTGTCACATAGGTCACAGTCCAGTGATGCACTTAATCCAATCCAATCCAATCGTGTAATCCCACTTTTGACACCAGTTGTAACATGATCGAATGACTATAGATGTGGTTTTGAATTGGTAATAAGATTTATTTGGAATCTTAAACAACTTATGACTACAGTTTAAAGTCACTATTGCGCAGAGACTGGTGTTCTCAGTCATGGTCTTCACTGCGCTGCTTGGTAACATATTTCAACAGTGAATATTCCTCTGCTCCCAGGCTTATGTCCTTGCAGGCTGGCAGCTATCTCACACCAACTTCCTACTCTTTTAACTGATGTCTCAAGACTATCTCATAATGGCATCTGGTCCTCATTATATAGCCCCAGCACAGACTGCACAGAAAACACTGATTCTGATAGTTCCTCCATTCTTGCACTAACACGTTGCTTAGCGATGGCTCTGGTAGTGTGTGCTTATGAAGCTGTTGCCTAGTAATGGCTCTTTTTCTGGTCCCTTATTGTAGCTGTCAGGCCTTATGTTACAGCACATAAAATATGAGAATCAGTGCAGAAAAGAGTTTCCGGATTGTTCTGGCTTGTACATTATTGTGCATTAACTTCAACAAGTGGCAGTCAGTCAGTTGCATGTCCACAAAGTAAGTTTCCCACTTGTCCCACAGCTAGCAAACCTTATATTGCGCGAAGCAACTGCACGTACGTGATAGAGCAATGATGTAGCATGGGACATGCACTAATGAAATTTCCCGCATTCCCACAGTAGCATTGTTGCAGCTGTTGAAGATGGAGGCTCTTATTCCAGGTCTCGCCGACTGTGAAGTGCGGTCAGTGATAAAGCTTTTGAGTGCACGGAGCATAGCACCAATCAAAATTCATCGTCAGCTGTGCCGGGTCTATGGGCCTAATGTCATGAGCAAGCAGATGGTGCGTCGCTGGTGCAGACAATTTTCAGCAGGTCGACAAAGTGTGCATGATGAGAAGCACAGTGGGCGGCCATCCATCATTACAGATGACCTGGTGGCGCTTGTGCGGGAATGCATTATGGAGAATCGTCGCGTCACAATTACGGAACTCAGCAGTCATGTCCCGCAGATTTCCCGCTCCTTGTTGCACGAAATTGTCACAGAGCACCTGTTGTTCAGGAAATTGTGTGCAAGGTGGGTGCTGAAGCAACTGACACCAGAACACAAAACAAAGCGCATGGAGTCAGCATTGACATTTCTGCAGCGGTACCATGATGACGGCGACGAGTTTCTGGAACAGATCATCACAGGTGATGAAACGTGGATTGCACACATTACCCCAGAAACCAAGCAGCAATCAATGCATTGACATCACAGTGGATCTCCCTGTAAGACAAAATTCAAGCAGACGTTGGCGCGGAAAGTGATGTGCACGGTATTCTGGGACAGACGGGGCGTTCTCCACGTCGACTTCCTGACCAGAGGTGAGACTGTGAATGCTGAGCATTACTGTGAAACACTGCAGAAATTGTGACGGGCCATTCAGAACAAGTGGCGCAGGATGCTTAGTGCTGGTATTGTCTTCCTGCATGATAACGCTAGGCTGCACATGGCTCGATGGACAGCAAGTCTCCTGCAGGAGTTCAGCTGGGAGGTGTTTAATCATCCACCCTACAGCCCGGACCCCGCTCCCAGTGATTTCGATCTTTTCCCACACCTCAAGAAATTCCTGCCTGGTGAGCGTCAGTGTTTTGAGAATGACAGAGGCGGAGATGGTTGTCACACAGTGGTTCCAATCCCAGGTGGCAGACTTCTATGACACAGGTATTCAAAAGTTAGTCCCACGGTATGACAGATGTCTCAATTCCGGTGGCGATTATGTTGAAAATAGCTGAAAACTTGCTGTATCTGTTGCAATAAATATTTCCATGAAATTATGTTTTGTTTCTGTAAATGGCCCCAGGGAAACTTACTTTGAGGACGAGCCTCGTAGTTTGCTTAGGACTATAGGCCACGGAACATACGGGGATGGTCATGTCTACCTGACCATCTGCATGTTTCATCATGAGGATCGCTCTATGGATTCTAATGAAATTTGATTTATGTGGTAGCCATTGGAGGCCATTTGATTTCCTGCAGTCAGCAATAGCTGTTTGGTGGCTGCAGGAGCTTGTGGGGTGGCGGCTACAGTGATGGTAGTAACCATAGCAATGACAGAAACCAGAGAAATGAAAGTCATGAATTTTTGCAGTGTTATGAAATATACTTGTACTGAAATGTGAATTCAGAATGCCAAGGTGCAAAAAATATATGGAAACTGCAGACCAGAATGGCTTGCACATTTATGATCTTGTATATCACCTGATGTGTTCATGATTCCTGTTTACAGACTGCAAGCTTTTGTCCATAAAGATGTGTTTCACCACATAAACCCTGCGAATAAAACCACGTCCTTTACTTGTCCCCACAGCTGAGCAGTATCCTTGATTAAACATATTTTTCTTGAATAATATTAAAAGGAGAGGCATTAGTCTCTGGAACTCAGAGAATTCTACGTGTTACCAAGTGATAAGAAATTTGTGATTGCGGGTGCAATTCCTGATGGGGTCATTGGATTTTTTTTAATTGAACTAATCCTTCCAGCCACACTACGGCCCTGGGGTCGACTCAGCCTCTAACAGAAATGAGTACCAGAAATTAAATAATTTTTCAGGGGAGTAAAGCGCGGCCGGAGCGTAAGGCTGACAACCTTACTGCCATCTTTGAGCTGATTGTCTAGATAGTGTGGGAGCCTCAGCGTCTCACAACCCTATGGGCTTTCATGGCCTGTTACAGGGATAGCTTTACTTACTTTTTACTTACTGAGTGACGGATGTTCAATCCAAGAAAATTAAATTTATATCCCTTTGTTAACATGGTGTAACTTGATGCATTTATAGGATGCAATACCCCTGTTGCTGACTTGCGTGAATAAGGAGCAGACTCCAGAGAAGATGCTGCTCAGTGCTTTACTCACATTGAGTAATATTGCTGTACTGCCAGACTGGCATGATGAATTTTATCCCGTCCTTCATGCACTCTACAACATGGTGGATTCTGGAAGTCCTCAAGTGAAATTACAAACACTCAAGTTGCTGGTAAATCTCTCGACAAATGAAGATATGGTGCCTAGTTTGCTTGCAGCTGAGGTAAGTCTTTAGTGGCATTTTTTCATATTAAGTGTTTTGATTCAGGTTGTTAGTGGAGACTGAAAACAACAGAATTGTTTGTCTGCAACAAAAGAAATTGAATTTTTGAACACATAATATTGATGATTCTAAAGTCTTTCTTTTAATTGAAATTAAAGGCATTGAAACCAAATGAATAGCATAGATTCTGAATTCCTGGATTTTTTTCATTCTTGGGAACATATCTATCATGTAAGTCAGGATATGCCTGTGTATAATTTTGGGGAAACCTGCTTAACTCTGTTGCTGCATGTATACAGGTAGGTCTCAGTGCGGATAATGAATCCCATGCAGTGGTCGCAATTTTCGAATTTGCAGTATTCAAAATTATAATTACATGGTGCAATCCAAAAGTTCCCGAAATATATTAATAAAAACTGTTACATCTTACCTAGATCTTATTCTGCACCATCACCTTCAAAGTAGTTCCCTTGGGAGCCCATACACTGATTCCAGTGTTTCTGCCACTTTTCAAATGCATCCTGGTAGTCTTTCTTTGTTAGGGTGTTTAGTACCGTCTGCGTTTCTGCTTAAATTTCCTCAACTGTATCAAATCTTCGCCCCTTCAACTTGATTTTCATCTTGGGGAAGAGAAAGAAGTCACATGGAGCTAAGTCTGGTGAGTACGGTGGGTGGGGAACAACTGCCATCTTGTTTTTAGCCAAAAATTCCTGCACAATGTAAGCAATATGCGGTCGTGCATTGTCATGGTGGAGTACCCAGTCATTCGTGCGCCATTTCTCTGGACGTTTTCTCCTCATGTTCTCCCTCAAACACCTTAGAACATCGCGATAGAACTCTTTATTGACTGTCTGACCAGGAGGGACGAACTCCTTATGAACAATCCCGTCAATATAAAAAAAAACAGATCAACATGGACTTAATGTTGCTCTTGACTTGTCGAGCTTTTTTTGGCCAAAGGGCTCTTCCATTGCGATGATTGTTGCTTGCTTTCAGGGTCATAGCCATAAACCCAACTTTTGTCACCAGTGACAACCTTCGAAAGAAAGTTTGGATCCTCTTGAAGCTGCTGCTGAAGTTCCCTGCAGACTTCCAAGCGATGCTGCTTCTATTCATTTTGCAGCAGTCGTGGCACAAACTTCGCCACAATCCTCCTCATGTTCAGTTCCTCTGACAAAATTCGTTGACATGTACCATAACTTAGTCCAAGGTGTTACAGAGGTCTTGGATGGTCAGTCTATGATCTTCCAGAATCAGATCCCTAACTTCTGCGACATTTTCTGGTGTTTTGCCCGTTGACAGCCGTCCCAAACGATCGTCATCATCAGTCAATGTTCGGCCATTTTTAAAATGCTTATACCAGTTGTAAGTTTGTGTCTGGCCTAAACTGTTTTCACCAAAAGCTTGCTTCAACATTTGATGTGTTTCTGCAGTGGTTTTCCCAAGTTTGAAACAAAACTTTATACAGACACGCTGCTCTCTCAGGTCAGCCATCGCAAAACCGCAAACTCACGGAAACACAACAATGGAAATACGTTAACCAACAATAAACCCAACCACTCAACTCGACGCCGCATGCCACACTGATTCAAGAAGGGTGTGTGGGGAGACACCTAGCGGTATTTCAATGTACTCATAACCATTCGCGTGCAAAATTCAAATTTTGGTAACTTTTGGATTGCCCCACGTATATGTAAAATATGGTAATTGGTTTCATCTCGAAAAAAGGCAATAAAAATGTTAAACATAAGTTTTTATTGTTTATTAATGAAATATTCCAGTAAGGGATACAAATAATCCCCATATAATTTAAATTTATTGTCAACAATTTCACAAAGTAGCTATAGAGAGAAAAATAAAAACAAAGAAATTCTAAATATCATTCCTAAAGGAAAAGTTACACTGACAAAAACATCTTTACTGTCTTTCAAAGTATTTTTGCAGCGCAGACAACTGTCTTCTCTTTCTTCAAGGCTTCATGCATATGCTGGCAAATGCAGAGTGCTTTATCTCTGTCTCAGCAAATTTGTATGCTTTGATTGAGGTCAAGGTCAGCATCCATAATTTTTCACCTTATGACATAGACAGCTAAAAATTATCTTCAAATTCCTTGAGAGTGGACTTCTTCAGTTGCATATTATCTTGCTCGTTGGCATCATCGTCACTTCTTTAAATGCTTTTTGTTTATCTGAAAGTAGGAGGTCATCATCAGTGAATTCTTCTGAGTGCAAATTGAGCAGTTCCTAAACATCTTTATTTTCATAGTCCATCAAATCTAAGTTCTCCTTCAATAGTGGCTATTTCTTCTATAACAGTTTCTTCCTATAGAAATCACTGCTGTTTGCACAACGAGGCAAAATACAGTTCCACACTCTATGCATGTTGTTTGCAGTTATTTGCTGCCAAGCTTGGTGAATATTTTCTGTTGCATTGATGTTATAATTTTTCCAGAACTCTGTTAAGAAAACTGCATTGTGCTCATATTTTTGTCTGAAGGAATCTTCCTTTTTTCCATTTTGTTAAGGGCACTTCTTAAGGTGATTAAAACATCCCGAAAAGTCATGTGCATTATGGCAGGCAGCAGCACATGCACACATGAAGAGAAACAAATGCAGACTGAAGTAGCAGCATCTAAAACCCCAACGGTAACCTCAACTGTGCATGTGCTGAATTTTGGTTTGCATTAAATGCTACCTGGTGCCATTGTACAATGCTCACTAAATTGAATATCGCATTATTCAAAATTTCATTGATACCAACCTAGCTGTAGTATTGTTTTAAAATCATTTACTGAAAGTGTGTGTCCAAAATAAAATTGTTCTCCATAATGACGCCAACAGCTAAAATCAGTAATTATACATATATGTGAACAGTTTCCACACCAGATAAGTCTGTTCTGATATTTGTAGAGGTGTGTAATGCATTTAAATGTTACATTATTCTCGGTAATTTGAAAATGTGTTACTTCCTGCATTTGCATTATTTACATACTTTGTGTTGTAAGTTGGTTGCCTCTAAGTCATAAATTGTGCTTTATACCCATAGAGCATACAGTATTATGCTTTCAGTTTTGGATTATATGTGCACATTCTTGGTATGTGAGTGAAGATAGTTATGGAGGGAGAGGAACATGTACAGGGTTCAGTGTTCTTTCCAGTAAGTATTCTTGAGGGAAGGAAATGACGTATGGACACTAAGTGTGACATGGAAATTCAAATGTACTGTAAAGGAGCTAGGAGCAGATTTTAATGTCTCTTGAATGCTCATCCCAGTCTCAGTCACCTTGATACTTGTAATTTTAATTAAGGTAAAACATTATGAAACACTGGGTCGTACTGAATTAAAACCATCTGTCTTTATAGAACATTTTGTTACTACCTTGCATGGATTTTCCATGGATAGCCTAATCAGTTCAGATGATGACAGCAAAATTCAAAATAACTTTATTTCCTAAACGAAATATTAAAGTAATCTCAGTGTATCATCTGTGAGGAGTGTTATTTTTTTTTCATCATTCGTGAATTAATTGTGGAGAAAATGCCAATCTCATGTGATGACGTTTATATTATTTTTATTTACATTGGATTTGGATGAATAGTTTTGTCCAGTTACATCAGCATCTTTGTGGGATAACTGAGAAAATAAATTTAATTGATGGGAGGATGTGCAAAGAAAAGTTTTCCAGATATTAACTGAATTCTATTATTATGAATGATATGAATCATGAGTACTGTGGTCTTTTGGGTTGTGATGCCATATAATTTGGTTGATGGGTGCCAACATTTTGGAGCAACCTGTGAAGCAAACAACATAACAACATATCATGCAGCAGGGTTATAGTGAGACTGTGCTGTCCTGATGCTCTCCTTCCACTTTCTTCCTAAAGGCTCCACGGAGACTGATATATTTGCTAGATCCTTCAACAAATGAAGACATCCTGTTGCGGGTTGTGACATTATTAGCAAATCTTACTAATATTGCTAAGGAACTGCAGTTAGACCCCACCATTGACCTCCCTGCTGAGGATAAGGCTGCTTCTCCAGACACAATGTGAGTAGAATGCAGTATTCTGATCCATAACATGAACACAGTGGATCTGTTAACCTTTATTTGATTGTTATATGTCATGTCATCTTACAAAGGTTTTACTTCTTGGTAGATATTATATTGTTAGAAAGTAAAGTGATATCCATACCTTTTTGATGTTCACTCTGGGCTATACATGATGTGACTATGATATATTTAAATGGTGCACTATATGGAAAGCATTAATCCAAAATAGTCTCTTTCCTGCCAGAAACACTGTTTAATGCTGGGTATTCTTTTAAAGGTAAAGTAATTATCATATGAATAACATAGAATTCTTTGTTGATCAGGTGTAAATGAAAATGGATTTTTAGAATTTTTTATTTATATTGTAACGTGTTGGGTTACTGAAGACGCCGTAGAGATGGTTAATTGGTTTATTGAACAATCTACAAATATCTGCTACAATTAATTATAACACTGATACGGGTTTCCACACTTTACAAACCCTACAACAAAATCTCTTAACACTGTCTTCCAGAGTCTTCACGTATTAATAGCGTGGGAGCTATACAAGTCTCGCTGAATTACACACTCCAAATATAACTGGTTATCACGAACTATCACTGATTCTCGCACACGCGTCTGTAGCTTGTAACTTGCGAACTGAGAACTCGTTGATAACACACTCGCTCGACTACTACTGAACTCGGCGACTGTTACGTTACAACTCAACTTGCAGGCTGCTGTGCAGTTCCCTTATATAGCCGCAGTGCTTGCCTGTTGCCCCTTGGTTCTATGTATATCTCATATGTGAATGGCATTTCAGAAAGTTTCAAACTTATAGGGAGTCAATATTATATTTGAGCATCCTGTTTGACAGAGTTTGTCTCATATATATTATAGGGAGTCATTATAACATTAGGACCATCTTCAAAAGTAAATGCATACTTAGGAGTTCACTCATGAGAACTGGGCTGGAAAGAGATCCGCAACAGACGGTGCCTTGTGTCTATAGCATTCCCTGTGAATATGGCAGAAGCTACAGTACATTGGCAAAACAGGCAAACCACTCACTGTGCAGCTCCGTGAACATAGGCGCAACCTCAAAGAAAATCTTCTTAAAAAAAGAAGCACAACATGCCTATGAATGTCATAGGGTAGGCTGGAATAAGGCTAGAATTTTGGAAATTGAAAATATAGCAGGTATAGGAAATACAAGGATTTGGTCCATATGACATGTTTAACTAAACCAATCGACAAACCCAGTTTGGATATTTCTCCCATATGGATTCCCCTTATGAGTAATGGAGTTAGCAACTGGCAGTGAAGGTCAGTATGATCTGACAGATTCTTCATGTGTATCTGTATGATTTTAGCCCTGGGGTTCACTACTCCCCCACAGATGGTGCTAGCAGTAAGTAAATATCTTTTTATAACATGAACATCTTCAAATGAATCCTGTGCACTGGTGTTCATGGATCTGGTTTGTTGCATTTAATTTCCATCCCCTTTTCTGTCTTGGTTTTAGGTCTGTAGGTACATTATCAAAATATTTATTATACATTTTCCTGTGCCACAGACAATATTTTCAGGGAAGTTATAAAAATGAACTTCACATGTCTTTTTAGGCAATATAACTTTATTTCAAAACTTAGTTTCCATATCATGAAATAAATTATGTAGTATTACTACTTACACCATATTGAATTATTACACTCTGAATGGGCACTCCATGATTAGGTTTGTTTAAAACTTCCATTTTTCTTGGTGGGTTAGAGTCCTATGTTTTTCTCTGTCACTTATTTTAACAGACAGAAAATATACCACTGAGACAATAAGATGAGACTAAAAAGGTGGCCCTACTGAAACACTATCACACAATGTTTACATAAGCGTAGAAATTTTAGGTTAGCTCTCTGCATATCTACTTTCTTGAAGCCAGTTTCAAGCTCTAGAATTCTTTGATTTTAGCTCTCTTTTAAAATGGCCTTGATGTTTGTGAGGTCTACATGCATCTACCATCGTCTCTGCTGGTGCTACATGCAGCAGCTCGTGATCACAGCAATGTCATCATCATGGTTGTAAAAAAAGTAAAGTAAAGGTATCCCTGTAGCAGGCCGTGGAGGCCCATAGGGTTATGAGATGTTGAGCTTCCCACATTTTTTAGACCATCGGCTCATAGATGGTGGCAAGATTGTCAGCCTTACACACTGGCCGCCCTTTACCCCCAAGAACATTCCAAGAATATTCCTGGTACTCATTTCTGTTAGAGGATGAGTTGACCCCAGGGCCATATTGCAGCTGGAAGGATTAGGTCAATTGAAAAGAATCCAGTGACCTCATCGGGACTTGAACCCATGACCTTCCAGCTTGTAGCATAGTGCCTCAACCAACTGCGCTAAAAGAAAAGAAAAAACTGTTGTTCTAATTAGTGAGGTTTCACTGTATTTTGCATGATATAGCGCTCCTTGGAGTATGGTGTGAGTCAGTTATTATTCTAAATAGTGTAAACCTCCGGAAGATGCCAACTTCATTTGCAGTCCATAGTTGTTCTTACTCTCAGGGTCATTTGGCAGTCCTGTCACACTTCAGAATCTATTGGGTTTCCACGTGGAAGGCACTGGTGGACCAAATGTCTGGTAGGTTCCTGGCACCAGAGTCTTGTTTGAGTGTCATAGCTCAGCTCATTTCACATTAAGTGGAACACAAATGGAATGCCATTTATTGATACTACCTTCTGAAGGTTTTGTGTGTGATATCCCCGTAGAAATCCTGAGACTGTCTCCACCATGATGCGTGATATGCTCAGACAAGGACACCCAGTTTTGACATGTGTATAGAAACAATTTCAAAAAGTCAGTTATGTCAAGATTACAGTCCTCCATACTACCTTTCACAGTTGTGCATCACTTCTAAAGCCATCTTGGTATACAGGGGACATAAACACAGCTGGGATGGAATTAGTATGCCTAAGGTAGGTTCATGCTCACATGATTAATTAAGGATTATGCTTGGTGGAGATGGTGCCCTCCTTAGTTGGTTTGACTCAGGTAAGCACATGACTCTTTCTTGAGAGTATGTTAACAGGCTGTAATGAAAGTGACAGGGGTTGCACAGCTAATCAGCTCCTCTTTCACAGAACACCGATGGAATCACTTTGATGAAGGTTTACAATAGCAGCAATATATCTAAATACACAGATTCACTGATGTGGTTAATGCAATAGCAAGACATAATTGCACACCATATATATAAGACTGCTCAAAGATATCCTGGGATTTAATTTAAGTTTTGTCATCAAATCATGACTTCTGTATATATGTTTCAAAGTAAACTGTATGTAGACTGCAACTGGCTGCTTGGGTTAGTAATTTAGAATTTATTCAGAGCATCGCTTAATATGTCCATCTTAGACCACTGAAACTTACAGAGTCTTCTGGCTGGCCTTTTATATGGAAAGACTCTGTCCTCATTTCCAAAATGTTGACATGAAGACATCTTCCACAAAATTCTAGTTGGCTGGTTTGAACAAACTGGGAGGGTACAGAAATTTTTATCCTCCAATTACATACAAAAACAAGCAACTGTCACCCTTAAAGGCCCAAGTGCTTCTCACATCTTAAACTGATATTTTGCTGCTATAACTTCCTGAAACTCCCATTCAATAATTTATGGTTGCTTCTAATATCAAAAGTCAGATTTTTTTATTGCTAGTGCGGTGGGACTAAGTCCCTTGTACTGCGGCCACTTCTGGCCTGTTGTAGCAGCCCCCAGATGATAGGTGAGGGTGGTTGTGGAGCAATTGGTGGAATGAAGATTGGCAGGGAAAACCGAAGTACTCAGAGAAAACCTGCCCCAGCGCCACTTTTTCCACCACAAATCCCACTTGACCAGACCTGGGATCGAACCTGGGCTGCCGCAGGGGGAAGCNAACCTGCCCCAGCGCCACTTTTTCCACCACAAATCCCACTTGACCGAACCTGGGCTGCCGCAGTGGGAAGACAGCGACTAATCGCTTGAGCTATGGCGCGGCCAAAAGTCAGATTTCTTACTTACACTGACTGTGCACAAAAGTCTCCCATTTTCCAACATGCTCTCTGTGTACACAGTTTTACAGTTGAATGTAAGACTTGGCATAAGTCTCTCTCAAAACATAGACTTATACTAAGGCCCTCATCTAATTAATTAACACACCTATGTAAATGGTTTCCAGGAATCAAATTAAATCAAAACAACTGATTGTATTTCAAATTTTGACTTTACAAAATGGAATGGATTTCCATTTTGGAAACCGTCATGATCAGTATGATGCTTTTTTCTTTATGATGTATTGATGACTGCATTTGTGAGCATAGAATAATGTATGTACTCGTATAACACACAAGCTTGAAAATAAATTTGACCCTTTCACAATCTTGAAGAAATAGATGGGAAGTTAGTTGTAATGTGTTTGGGAAACTGCATTAGTAGTGGTTGATGAGAAGTTTAAATGATGACGAACTCAAGATACAAATGGAATGGTGCTGGGAGGAATAATTTTTGGCTTCACAGTGTACTTGATAGCCCTTTTTTCATAAAAAATTGCTTATAATTGTGTTTTAGATATGAGGTGCTCACAAAGCACTTATGATGAGTACTATCTCCTGGAATATAATGCCATGTAGTCTGGTGCAAGTCCACCAGCGTTTTGAAGAAATGTTGTTGGATATTACCTGGCTTATCCCCCAACCCTCCTTATGGCATGATGGATGTATGTCATGATGATGGTGGTGACATAATAGTGACTATCTCGTACCCATGTCATCAACCCCCCCTCCCCACACACATGACACCACCCTCTTACTTTCCTCACCCACCTTTTCCATGGGTACATGAAAGAAAGTACTGAATGAAAAAGCAGGGTATTGGATATCTCATGGGGAAGCACATGACACAGAAATACACTGCAATCTGTCAGTCTGCCTCCCTCCATCCAGCTGCTCCTAATGTAACCTCAGTAGACTACGTGCCATTACATACCAGTAAATTTGCTGTCTTCATATGTATCGTCTCCCAGCACTTCAATTCATGAAGTAACATTCCTGACAGAAAAATTCTTCTTATAAGATCCTGCTCATAATATTAAAATTTGAATGTGTTTCTTCTATTGAAGATCACAACAAAGAAATGTGTCCTAAGTCATAGACCTTCAGTATAGATTAGGTACCAGCACTGTTGTTTTAAGTCTTGAGGCCAAGATTGGTTTGTATTCAAATGTTACATTAGTGAAATACATAATTTGTATGTTAAGTGTAATTTGCGCTGGAGATTGGCATTGTTTTCTTAGTAGTAACAGTTTTATACTTTATTGTGTTCCTTGTTCATCACATTGAGATTTTACTTGTACTCCAAAATTATGACTATATAAAACCCTTCCCAAATACCGAACCAAAATTTTGCATTTCAGACTTTTATTTTATGATGTTGATCCAAAGTGAAATAGGTTAGGTTTGAGGTTTTCACAACAGCAGAATTTAAGATTGTGATCTTTGGGTTATGACACCATATTCTTTTTCATGTTATTACCAACATTTTGGGGGATTTGCTGACTTTCCATCTTCAGGGTAGATGGTTCCTGCAAAACTTTATAACCACATGCAGAGGTACAGATGGTCACAAGTCAGAAGGCCATAATCTCTCATTTAAGGAGGGACCCCATTTCCAAACACATAAACCGTCTTGGAATGAACATTCATTAGGTAATGGTTCTTCATGGGGCTCACTACCAAGAAAGACTGTGCTGGTAAGGGCCAGCAGCAATTTGCTGAACTGGGCTGGATTAAAACTGTGACAGTTATTAAAATTTATTAATTTTAATTTGTTTAAAGAAGTGGTGTGTGTGTATTCTGTGAGTGTTGCAGGTAACATGCATTATATGTATTATATTTAGCTAATATATTTTTCTTTAGCAGGTATGCGGCTATCTATGGGGTAAATACTCAGGAGAAAATGCAGAGTAAAGCCTTTGTCCTCATGAATCAACACAGAAATGAAGATGTGCGGTTTCAAGCACGTAAAATGTATGAGGCTATTAAATCCTGAGAGCAGGTTGACTATACGGATGGCCACGTGGGCAAACGGCACCCTGTTATTGTAGTTACAAACCATTAACTGGTGATTGTACTTAAAGAGCAATGTAGGTAGGTTCTAGTCTCTCATTTTTTATTTTATTTTCATTTTGGTTCAGGTGCTTTGTTTCAGAAGTTGAGTCTAGTCATTGTTGATGTTAAGAATTGAGATTTTATTAATGTTGGAATGTGTAGGAGTTGGGCCTACTTCTTGTTCTTGGCAGTGTTTAGCCTTCACAGTGACAGTCAGAAGCAAGATTTATGTACTCTGATTGACATGTAGACTACTATAAATGAGGCCTACAAAAGAAAATAAAGAAATTAACTAGTTCTGGACTGCAAAATGCTGTGCCAGAGAATGTGTAGAATTCCGATTGATGTGTGCTGTATGTAAAAATATATACACATTTACATATATGCATGTGAACATATGTATGACAATGAAATGAAGTTGTATTCATCTTACCGTGTTTCACATGTGGTGAAAATGATAAAGAATGGGAAACCCAGCAAAGAAACATTTATCAAGAGCACAAATACTAGAGCTAAATGAAATGATATGCAGCTACTTTTATTACTGTGACATTGTGAAAAGTACACAAACTTGTAATTTAATGCAATATTTTAGATTCTTGCATTTGAAATAAAACAGCTTATTTGAAGTGCATGCCTTCCTTTTCAGTGTTTCATATTTCTATAAGTTTTAGCCAATCAGTGTTTATTGTGTCTTGTCTTATATTAATAGTGTTTCAAGATAGAAATGAAATGAAGATCAGTGTAAAATTATGATATAGATATCTTCTACTAAAGTGTTTTGGTGTTCTGTAATGGTATTTCTTTCATCTGAAAAACTATAGTGTATGCAAACAGAACCCCGCAAAAATATGGTAGAAAAATTTAAAATAAAAAGTTCTGTGCTCTTTAAATATATATACAGGCAACCCCCCCAACTTATGAGCCCTTGCATTCATGACCATTCTTTTCATGCCAGGTTCACTCTGAAAACCCCCCTAATTGATGTAAATTCCACATGTAATCTCAAAACTGAAGCATTCTATTTGAGTGTGTTGCTGCTGTTTGAAGTGTGCACGTTTTCTTGTTACTGTCCTTTGCTTTAAATTGTAGTTGTAGTATTGCTGTGCTTTATTGACCACTATGTATGATACAAGGAAAAGCAATACACAGTGCAAAACAAAGCAAGAAGCCAAGAAAAGCTCTTACTTTGGAAATTAAAAAAGAAGTTTTGAAACATATACTGATTGCTTGTTTATCTGTCACAACACAGCAACTCTGGAAATCTCGTTCACATTAACTGTATAAACAAACAAACTCAGTGATTTTAGTCCGCAAGCGAACTATGCCGACTGCCGCTTGTCGGCGAAGTTAGTGCCAACTTTTGCGGATAGAGGGTGTCGCGTGGTCAGCGCAACAAATCCCCATGGCCCTTAATTTCGGTTTTCTAGACCAAAGCTGTTATTTCCTTGAAATAGCTCCTCAATTACCATCACAAGGCTGAGTGGACCCCATTCGAGACCCACTACTTCTCCAAAAAAACCTGGACCTCTGGATCTGTAGCCAGGAACGCTGACCACTAGACCACAGAGGCGGTCACATTAACTGTATATAACGAGTTTATTAATTTCAGTGGTATCTTGCTACATGTTTTGGCTAATGAAACGCCATCATCAGGCAGATATGCATTAATCTCTTAAACTACTGAATTGCATTCTGTGTGGATATATGTCACAGTAGTACAGTTGTTACTGATGAATCAGATTTTCAGCATTTTGCCAGAATTAAGGCCACTGCTGCTCCTATACAGCCATTCAACCAGAATAAAAACTTTATGTTAATTATGTTTACAGATGTTCATACACTAGTATAAAATATAAATAATATAATAAATTACAGAGGTTTATAATTATAAAATACACTTAGACAATGAGTTAATATATTATTACATGATGTTTAGGTGTCTCATATACTGTTACATATTAATATTTATGATTGCAGTCATGATGTTAAATCATGTGGTAATTTACTGACCTTGTTTTTGTTATGATTAGTTCTGTTTAATTCTCCCATGAAGCAGTTGTGTTGTTTGCAGTCAGTGGGTGTGGTGTTGTATACTGTTATTTTCCATTCTGGTTTTCTATTTTATGGGTTCCTCTATTTTCTGCAAGCAACTTTTAACAGAACTAGACATTGGAACGCTGAATGCACACAGGATGCAATCAAATAGTTTAAGAATAAGTTATTGATGTATATCTGCCTGATGATGGCTTTTCATTAGCCAAAACATGTAGCAAGATACCACTGAATTTAATAAACTCATTATTCACAGCTCATGTGAACGAGATTTCGAGAGTTGTTGTGTTGTGACCGATAAACAAACAATATACATCAACGCAACAGGTTGCATTCCTTGAACTTTTGAAACTAAATGATTGCAGCATGAAAGTGCATGCCCTATGCAATAAATTTGAGGTGGCTCAATCAGCTGTGGGTACGATTTTGAAGGGTACGGCTGAATGTTCGAAGGAAGTGAATAATACAAGGACAATGCAGACTACTGATTCATATGAGAGGTAGAAAAACTGTTATGTGGATTAATGGTCAGAGGCAGTGATTGCATGTACCTCTCAATCAAGCCATAAAGTTGACAAGAGGCCAAGAGTCTCTTCGAGACATTTAAGAGTAAAGATGGTGACACATCCAATGACAAGATTTTCATTGCTAGCTAGAGTTGGTGTGACTGCTTTCAGAAGAGAGCTGGTTGGCATAACATTCAAGTCCAGGGAGAAGTAGCCAGCACTGACATGAAGGCAGCAAAAATTTTCCACAGCATTTAGCAGAACCTGTCAAAAAAGAAGGTTCTTGTTCTTAACAGGTATTCAGCATTGAGAATACAAGTCTTTACTGGAAGAAAATTCCATTCTCAGTGTACACAGTGAAGGAAGAAAAGTCTTCCTGGATTCACAGCAGCAAAAGATCGACTGTTGCTGGGAGCTAATGCCCCAAGTGGCTGTAAATTCTCTGTGTGGAGAACTGAGAGGCATTTAAACTCCAAAACTCCAAAACTTGGGTGAATGCATCACTTTTTTTGAAGATTGGTTCACCACTCATTTGGTTCTGATGTGCAAAATATTGTGCTGAAAATTGCCTTTCATTTAAAGCTCTCCTTATTTGGGGCAATGCCCTGAATCCTTAAAACCCAAGTCCAAAAATCAATATTCTCTTGCCCCCTACCACAACTGCAGTGGTTCAGCCAGTGGACCAGGGGCTCATTTCTTCCTTCAAGACATATAATCTTGGATGGACTTTCACTAGGCTTGTAAAAGCAGGGGATAATGCAGGTGTACTTATGGTCAAGAATTCTGGAATTTCTTCAATGTTTTGGATGTCTTGAACATTATTATAGAAATCTGAAATGCAGTTACTGAATCCAAGTCAAGGGCATTGCAGGTAACTATGCCTTTAATTTGCCTGAGGTATTGAAATCTCTCCAGACCTGATAGCAGAAGTCACAAGATCCGTGATGGAGACAGCAAATCAGTTGGATCTTGAAGTATCTTCTGAAGATGTGAATGAGTTGCTGGATTCTCATGTTCTGGAACTGGAGAACAAGGAGTTGCTGAAGAAGAGGTTAGCGCTGAGATCCCCTCCCCCCAGCATTTATACTTCAGAGACTTTCAAAGGCATTGGAAGGTATGAAGTCAGCGTTGAAAATTTGTCACAGATGATCCTAACTTCAGATGCAATTTGAAAGTAATTTCAGGAATTAAGAATGCCTACGCTATGCTCCAGGGATGTGTTTTATGAAAAGGAAGAGGTACCTTCAACCCAAACCTCTTTGGATTCCTACTTTAAGAAGGCTCTGTGAGTTCAGTCTGGTGAGAAAGCCCCAGACTCCCGGTCTACCGATGAACAAACTAACATCTCTGAATTTAGCCCTCCTTCCCTTGCAAGAAGTTTATATTTTGCCAATCCAGACATCCCGGTTGCAGTCCATTAACTCTCCCTGTCCACAAAGCACAAATTATGTTACAGGAAAGAATTGAACTTTTGTGGTATAAATTTTTAAAATGTATTTTATTTGGTTTATTTTTGTATTGAATGAATGTTCTCATTAATAAATATCTGTAAAGGCATGTACATAATGTTTTACTTGGTTTCTTACTATTTTCGTAGTCAGTTTTAGTAATTTTGGCCATGAAATGGGTTTCTAGGAATGGAACTGCAGTTTATAACATTGTGCTTATGCAAAAAATGGGTTCGAAATACAGTGGCTCTGAGGAACCAATCAGATCATAAGTTCAGGGGTTGCCTATACATGTTTTCATTCTTAAATTCCAGTTGTTAACATATACCACATTTTAATTGTTTGTTATAAAACTACATTTTATAAACTGGGTTTCCATTAATGTTAAAATAATGGAAGTGTATATGGTTAGTGTGCTGATGGAAGTGAAGTTATGTTTTTTATTATTATACAAAAATAACTCTAAAATGTTATGTGTATGTAGCGGTGATAGGAACAAAATTAAAGGATGATGGTAACGGTTGGTTCCAAGAGATCCCACAGGTCTGATAGTGCATGATACATCTAACTGGATGAAGGCATATGGCAGTTACTGGCTTGCCAACAAACAAAGTGAGATATCTGAGGAACTAAAAATTGTGTAAAGGTTTGAGATTTGGGGTTCTCAAAGCAGTGAATATTAAGATTTGTCTTCTGGGATGTCATACAGTGTAGTCTGTAGAAAGTGACTTAACATTTTCAAGGAAAATGTTGGCTCCATCTGATGTTATCCTCAGTTCATTTATCAGACTCCGTGGTATCACATCCCAGAAGATGGTTATATACATATATTTCAGAGGAACATGCTGCTTCCATCTTCAGGGTAATTGAATATGCAGGCAGTATGTTCCTTTGAAACTTTGGTAAACATCTACCAGATTACACGGCATCCAATCACACAAGACTGCATAATATAAGAATGTGTCATGTTTATCAGCCTTTTACTGCACCTATTATCCAGTCATGAGAGACATATACAGCAGTGGGGTTAGACTGAGTTCTTCACACTGGTCTCTCTGGTGGGTGTGTAGTACCAGTCCCTATTGATGATGGTGATCATAAATGAGTATCAAATATGATGATTAAATTAAAGTACTTGGTGAAAACCTGGCCCATCTCCACTTCATCCTTCAGAAGTGTAGCATGGACTACCTTGGTAATGAATCTGGACCTCTGTGCCGAAAGGAAACACAGAGGATGTTCTGTGAAACATGTGCCAAACTGCAGGATCATATTAGAAACGAATGTCCAATTATTAACCATTACATTGCTATGAGCATTTTAATATTTGTACAGTGCCCTATTTGACAACATGAAAAAGGAAACATAAGAAGTCATAAGCATTGCACAGCATTTTAATTTATGTTAGATGACAAGAGCAGGGGATAATATATACAGTACAGTGTAAAAAGAAATATAGTGTGACATGTCTAACCGTTGCTGGGCAACGGGAGGTGGAACGAGTTACCACGAAGATAGACTCTGGATAAACGGTTGGTTGCTGGGTTGCACAACAGTAGAAACGAGGTTACGCAACAGCAAGGAAAGCAGCGTTTCTCCATGCCATGCCTAGCTGAGCCAAAGTGCGCTGTTTGCTACGCAGCCATAAACAACTCTCGGCAGCGTTCCCCAGCAATGCCTGTAAGCACGGTGTTTATGCAACAGTGAAGCGAAGTGGGTTTTCCACTGTCCGACTGAGTGCTTATAAGGGAGACTGGAATGCATAAGGAGTGAGTTGAAATGTAGCAGCCGCCGAAGCCAGTTAGTATTCGGAGTATGAGTTGAAGTCTAGCAGTTACAAGTTGTGTCGAGTGAATGGCAGTGGCTACAGCAGGAGAAGTAATTGTGATACTGCAGATGGCAGTAGTTGTGAAATTGTAAATTGTGCAAGTGTAAGAGCGAATGTGTAATAAATTCGCTAGATCCAAAATGCCATGAAGTTATTTGTCGCGTGACATACACCAAACACATGACAGTATGTTTCAGATAATGTCGTTATGATACATGTTCTACTGTACTGTTAACTATACTGTAGCAAAAAATGAAAAGAACACTTGTTGGTTTAAAATATCACACTGAAGTAATTTCTCAATTGTGCATGTATGTATGTGCGTGTGTACAAGGAGTGGACCTAACTGCTGGCCCATGCACTACAACCTCTAGTGATCTATTGTGTTGTGTGCATGTAACTCAGGCTTCGGTTCAAAATGACCCCCACAATTGTCTATGTGCAGCTCTACATGTTTCCAGAGACTGTTGCCTTTTAAACACTTGTGATATTTTCCCATGGGGCACTGGTAGACTCCATGATTTGATGGAACAGTTTTCTTGTCTATAATTTCTGGTGGCAGACCAAGTCTTTCAAATGCAGCCAGAAGTAGTCAGGTGATCTCTCTGGTCAGGTGTATGGACTGTAGTGACCAGCCTAGTGATTAGGGTAGGTGCTTCCCAATGATATCATACAAAATGAAAGTGGGTTTCCACAGCACTGTGTGGACTGGTATCAGATATGATTGTTGTGGGTATTGTTGATTTCATCTGATATAAATTGTTCTTCATCAGTGAATAAAATATACTTATGAAGTTGGCGGTGTGTGGCAGTCCAGTGACAGAACTGTAAACAAGCAGATAATCTTGCGGTTGCAGAGCTTCAACATGTTGAACAGACCCCACTGAGGTGTACCTGTTTGTCGGGAAATTCTCCGGATGCTTGTCTTTGGACTGCACTGTACAGCATGTAGGATGTTGTCTTGTTCCCCAGTGGTTGGTTGGACATTCCCTTGTAGATATATGAATTGCTTATTTCTCTCAGCCTGTGGTATACTCTGGCAAATGTGTATTTGCTTGCAGTCTTCACACTGGAAATTGCCACCAGTATTCCTCAAATGGTCAACTGCCATTTGCATTGCAGTACCCATAAATGAGATTAATACCTGTGTATTCTGCAGTTGTGAACATTGTGTTCATTCTATATACTGCATGCTACTGTACTGTTAATCACAGAAGGGCCGCATATGCTGCAGAACATTGCTACATTGACAAACACAGTGGCCTGAATGAATGAAGGAATATGTAATGCACATGATTTCCCATGATTCCATTTTCCTCTTGCCAAGTATGTGGTGTAACAGTTGACAATTGATATCATTGCTATAGCATTTTTTATTCAACATTATGTTTATATGTTCCTGCAGTTCAAGATATGTTTCATGGAATATCTTCCCTTTCCTACTCTGTGTGTGTGTGCATATATATATATATATATACATAATTTTTCACAAAGCATGCTTGTAGCATTAAATAAAATAATAATTATTTTTGTGGTTTTTCAGTTCAAGAGCATTATTGAGTAAGGTTAACAGTTACTACAGTCCTCTTTCCTAGTTCAGTTCAGTCTGCAAATGCACATTCCATATTTTGCTCTAAACTTCAGTAATAAGGAGGTATGGAGATTTTATAGCTGGGAGAACTGGTTATTGTGCATTTCTAAGTACTGTCCCACCAGTGAACTGTGAAACTTCAGCCGTATAATGGGAGACTTGAGGTTCTCACCTTGATGTTGCACTGCATAGTTTCATAGATGGGTACCAGTATTTTGGAGCAACGTGCTGCCTTCACTTACTCTGGAGATGGAGGTGCCAGTTCCTCCAAAGTGATGGTATTTATGCACTAAACTGTACAACATCACATCTCAGAAGATTTTTAGCTGTAGAATTGATTTTTCCATTCCTGAGAAGCAGATCAAATAAATTGTATAGCATGCTTCTTTTCTCGTTATAACTTTTATTTTCTTTCCTCCTTGTAATATACAGATTACTTTTGTGCTGGATAACAAATGTTTCCTTTACTGGTATACACTTCACCTATTTTAAACAAATAAGAAAATTACATTACATTGCATTCCATGGACCCAAAGTTGGTCAAAATGACTGTAGGATGTGCAATATGTCATATAAACTGACTTCATCATCATCATACTGCTGAACAGATAATGGAAATGACATTCTGATTGCTTTTCATAATGATTCTGTGAAGAATTAAGAAGCAATAAACAGTGCATACAAACTGTAAAATTTTAGGGACATGTGGAAAAGAAAACATATAAAAGTAATGATTTTGAATACTTAATATAAGTTACTTTAATAATTCCATTTCCTATTAGCTGTTAAAGACAGTCATATGTATCAGTCCAGAACAGCAGTTTAACGTGTTCTCTGACATCTTGTATAACACATTCCATCCATTGTAATCTTAAGGTGTGATGTCAAAATTTGTGGCTGTTTTGAAGTACATGTTTGTTATGTAAGATGTGTCAAGATTTTATGCATTTGTGTTATTAATTACTAGCGTGACTTTGAAAGGAATTGGTATGTGTTTAACTTTATCTCTAGTTTTGCTATGTAGGAACATCTTACAGTACTTTGTTAATTTGGTATTTAAAGTGGGTTCAGAATTTACAGTACTCAGTTATGTCAGTACAAATTTTGTATTGTATGTTCACTAGATAAGCCAAATTTAATGCTTTTGTTATGCAACATTGTTCCACATACCTACTGACCTAATTTCATTGTATATTCTCTGTACAGGTTGATTCTGAATTGTGTACATTTCTTCAGGCAGTTACATTAAGGCTCCCAGTACAAGAACAAGTTACAGTGAACATGGGATAAGAAATGCTCCTTAAATCATTATGATCATTTAAATGGTGCTGCGATGGAGTGACCTTTTAAAGCTAGACTGTGGCTCTTTTGACCCACCTTTTCCTTTTTGTGAGATTTAGGGATAGAAACACAAAGAAACTATACTCATACAAAGGTCGGATAAAAAGTAATGGCAACAGCTCTATAGTTCTGAAATCACTTTATTACCTGAGGTAAACACACTTACATTCCTTCAATGTAATTGCCCCCCATGTGGACCACCACCTGCCAAATTTGTGGAAGGCGTCATACACCATCAGTGTGTCCACTTCTACTGATGTCCAGCAGTGACCGCCCCACAGCACGAACAATCTCCTCTCATGTGTTGTAACATGTCCCTCGCAGTGGTTCTTTCATTTTGGCAAAGAGATCATAATTGCATGGACTCATATCAGGTGAGTATGGCGGGTGTTGCAGTATCTCCCATTGCCAGCGGCAAAGGAGATCCTTGACAGCATCAGCAGTATGTGCCCTTACATTGTCATGAAGGATGATGGGGTTCATTGCCAACAAGTGTCATCGCTTTCTCCTGAGCGCTGGATCAAGATGATTACACAGGAAATTGCAGTATTAGGCAGTGTTTACTGTCTGTCGTTGAGGTACAGTGTGGTGCAGTATCACTCCATCAGTGCCATATGCCACAATGAACATCGCCTTCACATCACTCTGTGTAGGGCACACTTTCTCTGGATGAGGAGAGCCAGGATGCTTCCATTCATTTGACTGTCGCTTCAAGTGTGGTTCGTATGAGTGAACCCAAGTTTCATCCAGAGTGACAGTCCTTCCAAGGAAGTTTTCGCCTTCCTTCTGGTACCGGTCCAACAAGTCGTGTGCAATTGCATAACGTTCCCACTGTTGCACCTCGGACATTGTATGGGGTACCCAATGAGCTGTTTTTTTTGTGGTATCCAAGAATATTGTGCAGAATGTGGAGCACAGTTTTGTGACATATGAACGGGGACCCAAAAATAAACGGAAATGACCTGTTGCGCGATCATGCTTTGTAGTTACGAGTTGTGCTGCTAGGTGGTGTTAGCTGGGGGTCTCCCGCGACTGTTAGTGAGCTGGAGTCAGTCTGAGTTAAGTGGTTTGTCTGTGGTGCTCTGTTGTGTGCGTTCCTGTTTCAACCCTTTGGCGATTAGTGAGATGGCCGACCAGAAGGAACAAAGAGTGTGCGTGAAATTTTGCTTTCTGTTAGGGAAAACTGCACTTCACTCTTCAAGTCTCGGCAAACATTCACACGGTTTTCTCTTTGGTCATCTCTGAGCAAGCGAGGAACAAATTTTGCAGACGCCCATCTCATGTGCAAACCTTTGGTTAAAATTTGCTGGACCGTGCTCCATGAGATGTTCGTTTCCTCAGAAAGTTGGTCAGTGGTCTTTCGACGATCTTCATCAATTTCACGCACACTCTTTGTTCCTTCTGGTCGGCCATCTCACTAATCGCCAAAGGGTTGAAACAGGAACGCACACAACAGAGCACCACAGACAAACCACTTAACTCAGACTGATGCCAGCTCACTAACAGTCGTGGGAGACCCCCAGCTAACACCACCTAGCAGCACAACTCGTAACTACAAAGCATGCGCGCGCAACAGGTCGTTTCCGGTTATTTTTGGGTCTCCCCTCGTACGCCTACCTCAGCAGCTAACTCCCATACAGCCCATCGACAATCGACATCCAGCAAAGAAACAAGAAGCTGAATTGTGTGGTTGTCAACATGGGGTCGTCCTGAACGGCCGCTGTCCTGAATGGCATCCCACCCTTCATGGAACAATTTCACCCATTGTGCCACTGTGCGATATGGCAAAGCAGCAGCACCACATGCTTCTCCAGTCCCTGATAACAGTTTTGTGCACTACGATCTCGTGCAACTTCAATTTTTATCCAGGAGCATTGTTCTTGTTTCGTAAACATGTTAGGGTGCTTGAACTGGGCTCCTGCACTTCAAGACGATGCACAATGCAACTCAATGAAACACAACCAGAGTCACTAACTGTACTACTTCAACTGAACTTCTGCTATCAGCTACAGATGGCGCTAGTGCCACCTGATGCACATCTTTCATGTTACAGCAGTGTTGCCACTACTTTTTATCCAACCCTTGTACATTGAAAATAGGCAACTGCAAGCTAGCAAAATGATCCAGTAGGAGTGTCTGTAATCTGTGAAGAATGAATTACAATAAAATACAAGGGATAATTGAAAAATATTATGGATGAGAAACATTATTGCCATCTATGGACCATCATTACCATCATGAGCCTTAATCAGCATTCCCAAATAATCAGTTAATGGTTATAATTGCTCACCAGCCAATCCTCAGTTATTTCGTATGTCTTGAACTGGGTTCCCTGTTCACCCACATGTTAGGAAATAGTGACCGAGAGTGCTGAGAGATTGAAGTGAATATTTTATCCTTGCATTCCATAATGTAGTCCTGGCAGCTCATCACATTCAAGGTACCAAAGTAAAGTATAGCTATCCCTGTAACAGGCCGTGGAAGCCCATAGGGTTGTGAGACGTTGAGGTTCCCACATTTTCTAGACAATTGGCTCATAGATGACAGCAAGGTTGTCAGCCTTACACTCCGGTCACCCCCATGAACATTCCAAGAATATTCCTGGTACTCATTTCTGTTAGAGGCTGAGTTGACCCCAGGGCCATAATGCGCCTGGAAGGATTAGGTGAATTGAAAAAAAATCCGATGACCTCATCGGGATTCAATCCCATGACTTTCCAGTTTGTAGCATAGTGCCTCAACCAACTATGTTACCGCATGTCCCCTTCAAGGTACCATGACTGAGCAAAATAGCCCACACATTAACATTTGAAAGGTGTGAAGTTTGAATCCCACCTAGGGACTGGTTATCATAATTGAGGTTTCACATAGTTGTCTTCAGTTGTTCCTGGCAAATACTAGTTGTAATGTTTTAAAATTTCTTATCCAATGCTGTATAGCCCCTAAAGTTGATATAAAAGTCATGAAGTTACATTCAGTATCCCAACATCAGACAAGCAGGGTTGCACCAGAGTGACGCTATAATGTAAGAGTACCTGCACATTATTTTATGTTCCGCACTGGCAAGCACTCTCGATCGTACCTGTCACAGACACTGGTTCAGTTCACAACACCACTTATTCATGTAATAATGGCCTCACAAGCCCAGAGAAAACCATCTGCCATGGCAGCTTAGCACCATCCAGTATCATTGTCCTGACAAATGGGGCTGGTCAGACAGCTGGTTGTGTAAGCACTCACAATAAGCAGCTGAACATCTCTGCTGTCTTCGTGATAATCAGCACGGGAAACTTATTATTACCTCTCATTCACTGGACTTCACTTGCTTTGATCCACAGATGTCATTGCTTAATGAAAGTTGTACTATTCAGATCACTCTGATATTATGACAGTTTGTCCTAGAATGGAAACCATTTAGAATTTTTAATATCCAAAGTATTTTGTTATGATTTGGATATGTTTTAAGGTTTGTGAATGTCTGTAGAGTCTTTTATATTGCTGAAGCTGATTACAGTAACTGAAGCAGTTATGTCTCTTAATAGCCAAAACAAAAATTCTGGTATTTAGAGTTCAAGTGATACTGTATTTTTATGTTGCATCTTTTCTATTTTCTTGTCATCTGTACCACAATAGCTGTATAAGGTACCCAAAACTGATTGCAACACATGGTCTGTTGTTGAATTTTATATAATTTACAATCGTATAACTATTATGCATGTGTGAGAAAAATTTCTCAATCTGAGATGAGAATTTAGAAAAATCTTGATAATCAAGTTGAGAAAAAGAATTTTCCTATAATGGACCAGATTTTTCACTGTAATACTTTGCAACACTACTCACTGTTTCTCTGTACTACTGTATGTTCTTTTCACAAACGGAAGATTATTCCAAATGTAAAACAACCCCACAATAGGAAATATGTGTGCAGAGAAAAAGTGATTTTATGAACTAACTTCATACTCTCACTACAGATGTGAGAAAATACATATTAGAAAACATGCTATATATGACATTCAATGAGTTTATTTAGCTATATTATATTTAAGCATCTTGTTGCACTATACACTTCTATATGTAATAATACAAATGCCGTCGTGAATGTAACAATTTATTTGGTTGTAGTTTTTTGTCTTTTCTTCCTCTACACTACATGTTTCAGCCGTAACTGGCCATCATCAGGTGTATTTTTCACTACGTAGCTGTCACACTGCACACATCCAAAATCTAAAACACCAGCCTGTCAGTTTTGTTTAAAATCTTGCCAACATACAAATTTAAAATTTTGAAATTTAAATTTTAAACTGGAATTCTAAAATCAAATTGATGAGCATATGTTGGCGAGATTTTAAACAAAACTGACAGGCTGGTGTTTTAGATTTTGGATGTGTGCAGTGTGACAGCTACGTAGTGAAAAATACACCTGATGATGGCCAGTTACGGCCAAAACATGTAGTGTAGAGGAAGGAAAGACAAAAAACTACAACCAAATAAATTGTTGCATTCACGACAGCATTTGTATTATTATATATAGAATTTGTTTTGTTTCATGCTGGTCTGTCACACTAACAAAATTACAAAAGGTTTATTAATTCCATCCAGTGTGACTGATGGTTTTTTTCTTTTAATCTTTTATCCTTTACATGTTTCGGTCCTATAGACCATCTTCAGAACTATTACAGTATGTTTTGTGAACATTAATATGTACATACAATGTCATCATAATACAATGTACAAATCTAATATTTCTTAACAACTACAGCGGCTTGTACCAACACCTTCATTGGTTGCATCCTGTTGTGTGTTTCAGATATATATGAATTATGTCACCGTCAGCACAACAAATATTTTTGATCTTTATACTGCTACATGTTTCGGTCGCATAAGACCATCATCAGGCAGTTGTACACAGGAATACATATAGTCATTGATACATGTCATGGGAATAGCATACCAATATCCATACACTTAACAACTCATACATCATAGAAACTTGCCTTTGGGCTCCACAACTTAGAGAGCTTCTACAAGACCTACAAACAACACACATGCCCAGTTTTCTACACTGTAGCAGTGAAACCTAAAATATAATTTGACATACAAATTCTTAACCTATCATCGAAAAACCTTTAACATTTTTTAAACATTTTTAATATATAAGATTTGAGGTTTTCACAGCAGTGACTATGAAGAAAGCAGTCTTCTGGGATGTGGCACCGTGTAGATGTGGTGTTAACCGACGTTTTGGAGGAAGGTGCAAGCAGACTCTTCTCACTGTCTGTTCGCTAGCAGATTTTCTTATTTTTCCTTCTACCCTGAAGATGGAGGCGATACATTTCTCTGAAAAGTCGGTTAACACCACATCTACATGGTGCCAGAAGACTGCTTTC